AGTTTTCGACGGATTTTTACGTTTTGAGGTCCCCTGAATCCGTTTTGACTATTTTCGCGATGTTGTCTGTGTGTGTGTGTCTGTCTGTGTGTGTGTGTGTGTGTGTGTGTGTGTGTGTGTGTGTGTGTGTGTGTGTGTGTGTGTGTGTGTGTGTGTGTGTGTGTGTGTGTGTGTGTGTGTGTGTGTGTGTGTGTGTGTGTGTGTGTGTGTGTGTGTGTGTGTGTGTGTGTGTGTGTGTGTGTGTGTGTGTGTGTGTGTGTGTGTGTGTGTGTGTGTGTGTGTGTGTGTGTGTGTGTGTGTGTGTGTGTGTGTGTGTGTGTGTGTGTGTGTGTGTGTGTGTGTGTGTGTGTGTGTGTGTGTGTGTGTGTGTGTGTGTGTGTGTGTGTGTGTGTGTGTGTGTGTGTGTGTGTGTGTGTGTGTGTGTGTGTGTGTGTGTGTGTGTGTGTGTGTGTGTGTGTGTGTGTGTGTGTGTGTGTGTGTGTGTGTGTGTGTGTGTGTGTGTGTGTGTGTGTGTGTGTGTGTGTGTGTGTGTGTGTGTGTGTGTGTGTGTGTGTGTGTGTGTGTGTGTGTGTGTGTGTGTGTGTGTGTGTGTGTGTGTGTGTGTGTGTGTGTGTGTGTGTGTGTGTGTGTGTGTGTGTGTGTGTGTGTGTGTGTGTGTGTGTGTGTGTGTGTGTGTGTGTGTGTGTGTGTGTGTGTGTGTGTGTGTGTGTGTGTGTGTGTGTGTGTGTGTGTGTGTGTGTGTGTGTGTGTGTGTGTGTGTGTGTGTGTGTGTGTGTGTGTGTGTGTGTGTGTGTGTGTGTGTGTGTGTGTGTGTGTGTGTGTGTGTGTGTGTGTGTGTGTGTGTGTGTGTGTGTGTGTGTGTGTGTGTGTGTGTGTGTGTGTGTGTGTGTGTGTGTGTGTGTGTGTGTGTGTGTGTGTGTGTGTGTGTGTGTGTGTGTGTGTGTGTGTGTGTGTGTGTGTGTGTGTGTGTGTGTGTGTGTGTGTGTGTGTGTGTGTGTGTGTGTGTGTGTGTGTGTGTGTGTGTGTGTGTGTGTGTGTGTGTGTGTGTGTGTGTGTGTGTGTGTGTGTGTGTGTGTGTGTGTGTGTGTGTGTGTGTGTGTGTGTGTGTGTGTGTGTGTGTGTGTGTGTGTGTGTGTGTGTGTGTGTGTGTGTGTGTGTGTGTGTGTGTGTGTGTGTGTGTGTGTGTGTGTGTGTGTGTGTGTGTGTGTGTGTGTGTGTGTGTGTGTGTGTGTGTGTGTGTGTGTGTGTGTGTGTGTGTGTGTGTGTGTGTGTGTGTGTGTGTGTGTGTGTGTGTGTGTGTGTGTGTGTGTGTGTGTGTGTGTGTGTGTGTGTGTGTGTGTGTGTGTGTGTGTGTGTGTGTGTGTGTGTGTGTGTGTGTGTGTGTGTGTGTGTGTGTGTGTGTGTGTGTGTGTGTGTGTGTGTGTGTGTGTGTGTGTGTGTGTGTGTGTGTGTGTGTGTGTGTGTGTGTGTGTCTGTATAACGCATAACTCATGAACCGATAGACGGAAAAACACCAAATTTCAAACTTAAGCTTTGTTCCAACATCTAATGAGCTGATTAGATTTTGGGCAGAGTCGGAACATCTGGGGGGGTACTTTATAGGTGGTCATTTTTATATTTTATGGAATATATCTGTTATTTACGTTTGGGGAAGAAAATTCTTCAAATGAAAGTTACTTCTTATTTTATTATCTATAATTTTTGTTATATACAAAATTTTCCTAAAATGGTCCGTATTCGCGAAATTTGACAAAATGTAAAAAAATATTTTTTTTTATAAAAATTGTTCAAACAAAAGTTGTTTGTAATATAATTCTCTATAATTTTTATCCTATAGATAATTTCTCTAAAATGGACCGTATTCGAGATATTTGAGAAAATGTGTAAATTTCGAAATTTGAAGAAAACTCAAAAATGGATAAAGAAAAAACATTAAATTTTAAACTTAAGTTTTATTTCGGCCTGACGTGAAATGATTAGATTTTGGACAAAGTCGGAACATCTGGGGGGGTACTTTATGGGAGGCCGTTTTTATATTTTATGGAATAAATCTGTTATTTATGTTTGAAGAAAAAAATTGTTCAAATAAAAGTTACTTCTAATATTATTATCTATAATTTTTGCTTTATGTAAAAATTTCCTGAAATGGTCCGTATTCGAAAAATTTGACAAAATGTGCAAAATTCTGATTTTTATGAAAATTGTTGAAATAAAAGTTGTTTGCGATATCGATCTCTATTATATTTGTTTATACATGATTTTTTTAAAACGGACCGTAATGGAAAAATTGTAGGAAAAGTGCCAAATTTAAATTTTTCAGTATTTTCATTTTCAATGAATATCTATAGAAAAATGTTTCGCGGTAGATGTATGTGGACAATGTATATATTTAGTTTATCCTCTAAACATTTATAGAGATGCTGCAATAGGTTGTACAAAATAACCGGAAAAAGCCTGTAATACCTAGATAGGAAAGTCATGTGTTGGACACATCAGATTTTTTGTATGGCAATCGACAAATTTAAAACATAAAAACTGGTCTGTAATGCTTGAATGGTTTTAGATGGAAAAAAATGGTATTTGAAAAAAGTGTTTCTATTGAATAGATCTTTCAATTTCTGAAATAAAAATGGTACGCTTCTGACAAAAAAAAAAATGAAGCGTCGCGACGCCCAGCGTCGCTTATTTATAACTTCCTTATCCATCCCAATTTTAAGCATTAGCCGGCCCAAATAAAATACTTTTCACAAAACTCAATTTGCTGCAGCCGTTTACGAGAAAAACTCATTTCCCATGATAAAAGAATCACCCTGTACACCCTGACATTATCTCGAGCATTTCCTTCACAAAATCCCAATGTCAGTAATATATCGGTATATTCTGCATTGGTATATTGTACAGCCATATTAATAAACCACGGATTTGTTTTTTTAATTATTGAGTCAGATAGAACACTTTCAGTCGTTAACAAAAGATTAGGTATTAAAACTTGACAATATTTTTATTTAGATGACAATATGAAAACCATCAATAAATATTTTTGTATACGTATTGCAGGCAAATAATATTCCTCAAAAAATCGTACATGGTAAGAATCGAGTATTTTTGTTAAAGTCTCGATTAGAGGTGTTGAAGAAGATATGAAAAAAGTACATTTTTATGTTTTTCATCGTATAAAATTTTGTCCGATAATACATAGGCGTAGAACTTGATTTTTTAAATAATTGCACCTTTAAAAATTCTACTCCAATGGCAAAAAAGGGTTTGAGTATGAAATTTGGATTTGGTACTCATTTACTACAAAAAATTACCCTTGATAACACTCGATTTACTCTTATGGTTTTGACAAAGTTTGTATTTTAATAATTATTGTTTATGTTCTAAAAATTACTAAAATGCAAATTTCGTCAAAACCATGAGAGTAATCGAGTCTTATCAAGAGTAACTTTTTTAAAATAAATGAGTTGCGCAATCTAAATTTCATACTCAAACTCTTTTCTTCCATTGGCGTAGAATTTTTAAAGGTGCAGTTATTTAAAAATTCAAGTTCTACGCCTATGTATTATTATCGGACAAAATTTTAATACCATTTTTTTGCCACATAAAACTCTACCAATATACCAAATTTCAGCAAAATCGCATATGCCATTTTAAATTTATATGGGAAAAACGATTTAAAAATTGTAACTTCAAGGCCCTCTGGAGCCCAAACGAAGCAACCTTGTACTAAGGTAATTTTACTTAAATCGATTTATTTTGGTCTAAGGAATATGTGGTATGTTTTTGTAAAGACCTTTTACAGTCTAATTGGCGGTTGAAAGTTATGAGCAAAATTAGTAATTTTTAATTGTTTGTGTTTCTAGTTTCAAGAAAACAATTCTTAGGCACAAATTTACCTTTATAAGTATTAAAACCTTCAATATTGTTTTTAAAGTCATTTGTTGACATATTTAAAGCAGAATTTAGATCTGCAGGATTTTTGGTGCGCATAAGTGAACCTAGTGGTTCCTTTAAACCACGTAACAATACTCTGGGAGCCAAATTACGACAATAAATTGATAAAGTAACTATTTCATGTTCAGCAGCATGATATTTTATATTAAAAATTTGAAAATTTTATTAAAGAAATCAAAAGGCGATTGAGTATCTTGCTTGGTTTGCACCATCTCTATATTTAACGTAAACATGTATCTTTTATCGGAATATGTATTTAACAGAGCACCTTTTAAATCTGCCCAATTTGATATTGTGCAAGATGAAATATTTACAGCTGCTTCACCTTTAATCTTTGCTAAGATACTTGACAGCAGATATTCATTCTGAAAATCGTTAACATCAGCTGCATTATAAATTTGTTTGGCTAATTTCTCACAAATTTCTAAAAATCTAAGAAGTAATTGTGTATCCCCTTGAAATTCGGGTATCATATCTAAATATTCTTTTTTTAGTACTGCCATTTTTAATTTTCGCAATATTGATGGAATTTATTAAAGACTTTGGTCAGTCTGGGTCAGAATCTGTTCTACTATTATCTGAATTTTCAGAACAATCTGAATCACATTTATTAGTTTTACCCTTATATGATATAAGTACTTACAGCAAAATTAATGTTCCTTCCATGTGTAGAACCTGCGAAAGATGTCACAATATTCACTTATATTGTACTTTCTTCCTATTCCCAAAGTATCAAATGTCCTTTTGATGTCTTCTCGTTGAGCTACTCAGTTTATCCAACTGGAATTTCCTAACACAAGGTCAATAAATCGTTAATACGAACCGAAAATTATATCCACTAATCCCCTTTGACCTATCCTACTGACTGCGCCATTTAAATTCAAAAGCGCCTTAACTCAGTTATCTCTATTGATATAATTTATCCGTCACGTAAAGTCTATTTAAAATTCTCTATTACTTACAGCAAATTTACTTATTTAGTGACTATATGGTTTAATTTGTAGGTCATACAAGAAATTACTATCATCAAACCTTCACTGTACAGAATGGTGTTTCGCTTCGTCAATCCCAACTCTCATACGGTCATCGGTGGAGTGAGAGTAGTACCAGACAATCCCAGCGATATAGATCAATATGTCAACGTACAATTTCGAAACACCTCACAACCAGCTTTCGTTACAGTTTCCGGAGAATCTGGAAACATAGCGAAACCGTTTGTAATGAATCCAGGACGTTGGTCGGTTTATATTAATGTTAATCAAACAGTTTTCTTGGTAAGTAAAAGCAATTAAATAGAAAAACTAGAAATTTACTTAATAATATGTTATTTTCAGGATTACTTTGTTCTTTTACCTGAAGATTTTTATTTAGCAACGATTTTGAATCAGAAAGTTGAGAAACCATGTACTATAGGGGAGAGAGATCTATGCAGACATCACGCATATCCGAACAGCACAATTTATGATAAATCTTGGGGCGCTGGTGGTTTTAGGCCTAATAAAACACCTCTTGTAGAATGGTTTAAGAACACAACTGTAAGTATATGTAAAATTCTACTAAGCAAATTTATTGTAAGCTTACAAATATAAATGCAAGTTTGTTAAATATTTATTAATAATTTTCGAATCTGCCTCACTCTAAACTTCAAAAATTAACTTATTGTTAACATACTATTAAAAATTTATTTAGTTTTAATTTAAATATTATGTAAGAACGAATCATCTGAAAATTTTCAAAATCACCCTTGACTTACACTGTTAAATATAAACTTCTTTCAAACTTATCATTATAAATACGATTTAAACTCTCAGGATTTCATTGTTTCTATACAATGAATAAAAGGGGGCTCAGGACGGAACCTTGTGGAACCCCTTGCCTTACAGCCTGAAAGTCAGACAGAACACCATTACTCATCACAGCTTGTTGTCTGTTACTGATATATGAATTTATTAGTGCAAGCGGAATTCCCCTAACTCCATAAAAGCTTAGCTTTTCCAGAAGAATATCATGAGAGACGCAGTCGAAAGCCTTTGACAGATCGCACAACATTACTGCTGTGTGATTTCCATGCTCAAGTTCCTCAACTACATCATTCACAAAATTGAGAACAGCCTGTGTAGTAGAGCGAGAGCGTCTAAACCTATATTGGCAGTTGCTGAATAAGTTTAATTCAAAATACTCACATAATTATTTTTTAATAATTTTTTCAATAACTTTACCAAATATTGAAACAATACTTATGAGACGATGGTAATACTTTAGAGTATTTAAGTACATCAGGAAATATACCAGTGGATAAAATTAAATTAATCAGTTCAGTAAACGGTTTTATTATAATATTGCAAATGTCTCTTTTAATATTTTACTATTGAGTTCGTGAGTGTCAACACATTTAGAATTTTTTAGAGAAGTATTTGCGTCAAAAACTTCAGACTCAAGAACAGGGCTGAAGAAAAATGAGCTACAGGGCATAGGAAAATATTTAAAACTCAGAAGTTCGGCATTCGAAACATTAGGAAGAGATCTTGATGATATTTGCAGCAGTTGTATTAAAAAATGTATTTATTTCATTTGGTGTTAAATCAGGAGTTACTAGATTTCTTTTTAAATTGTTTCTTTCGAAATTGATTATTTGCCAACATGCCTTGGCTTTATTGTCTGCTCGAGTAATATATTCTTGATAAGCCAGTTTTTTGTTGATTTCAATTTTTCATTGTACTCGCTTTTGAGTTTCTTGTATGTTTTTATGTCATTTGGATCTTTTGTAACGTCTGTTATTAGTTTGATGGTTGAGAGACCGTTTCTTAGAGATTTTAGATTGTTGTTAAACCATATTACTGGTGAATTTCTTAAATTATTCTTACATTGTCTCAAGGGAAAATATTTCATACTTAGGTTATGGTAAGTATTGATAAGAAAAGTTGACAAAAAAATTACATTACCTTTATTACAAAAAATACTACAATCTATACTACTTAGAGACTGTTTAATAGTATATTATTAAACGAGCAATTTATGGTAGTCATTATTCACGCAGGGTGACGTTTGCGTCCCGAGCCGTAGGTGAGGGACGCAAGTCACCCGAGTGAATAATGGTCATAAATTGCGAGTCTAATACTATACTTTGTCCACGACCATTATGGTTTCTTTATTAAATAAAAGTTAAGTGTAGAATGGAAAGTTTTTATTAAACATAGGTAACTAACTGTTGTTTTTTCGACTTTTCGATTTTTCGTTTTTATCGATTTGCCGATTTTTCGATTTTTTTTTTTCGATTTTTCGATTTTTTTTCAATTTTTCGATTTTTTTGATTTTTCGGTTTTTTTTTCGATTTTTTTGATTTTTTTCGATTTTCCGTTTTTTTTTCGATTTTCGATTTTTATTTTTTTTTATTTTTCGATTTTTCGTTTTTTTTTTTTTCTATTTTTTTCGATTTTTTCGATTTTTTCGATTTTTCGACTTTTTTTCGATTTTTCGTTTTTTTTCTCGATTTTTTCGTTTTTTTTTCGATTTTCGATTTTTTTCGATTTTTTTCGATTTTTTGATTTTTTTCGATTTTTTTCGATTTTTTTCGATTTTTTTCTAAAATAATTGATTAATAAAAAGCTGATTTACCGATATAACAATAATTCTAAAAAATAACCGAAATATCGATTATATAATATAACCGATTATATTCAATCAGTCGATTATTTTTATATAATCTATTTTTTCATTTTTTTTTTTTTCGATTTTTCGATTTTTTTTCAATTTTTCGATTTTTTTGATTTTTCGTTTTTTTTTCGATTTTTTTTGATTTTTTCGATTTTCCGTTTTTTTTTTCGATTTTCGATTTTCGATTTTCGATTTTTCTTTTTTTTTATTTTTCGATTTTTCGTTTTTTTTTTCTATTTTTCGATTTTTTCGATTTTTCGACTTTTTTTCGATTTTTCGTTTTTTTTTCAATTTTTCGATTTTTTTGATTTTTCGGTTTTTTTTCGATTTTTTTTGATTTTTTTCGATTTTCCGTTTTTTTTTTCGATTTTCGATTTTTCTTTTTTTTTATTTTTCGATTTTTCGTTTTTTTTTTTTTTCTATTTTTCGATTTTTTTCGATTTTTTCGATTTTTCGACTTTTTTTCGATTTTTCGTTTTTTTTTCAATTTTTCGATTTTTTTGATTTTTCGTTTTTTTTTCGATTTTTTTTTTCGATTTTTTTCGATTTTCCGTTTTTTTTTTTCGATTTTCGATTTTCGATTTTTCTTTTTTTTTATTTTTCGATTTTTCGTTTTTTTTTTTCTATTTTTCGATTTTTTTCGATTTTTTTCGATTTTTTCGATTTTTCGACTTTTTTTCGATTTTTCGTTTTTTTTCTCGATTTTTTCGTTTTTTTTTTCGATTTTCGATTTTTTTTCGATTTTTTTTCGATTTTCGATTTTTTTCGATTTTTTTCGATTTTTCGATTTTTTTCGATTTTTTTCGATTTTTTTCGAAAATAATTGATTAATAAAAAGCTGATTTACCGATATAACAATAATTCTAAAAATTAACCGAAATATCGATTATATAATATAACCGATTATATTCAATCATTTGATTATTTTTATATAATCTATTTTTTCATTTTTTTTTTTTTCGATTTTTCGATTTTTTTTCAATTTTTCGATTTTTTTGATTTCGTTTTTTTTTCGATTTTTTTTTTCGATTTTTTTTGATTTTTTTCGATTTTCCGTTTTTTTTTTTCGATTTTCGATTTTCGATTTTTCTTTTTTTTTATTTTTCGATTTTTCGTTTTTTTTTTCTATTTTTCGTTTTTTTTCGATTTTTTCGATTTTTCGACTTTTTTTCGATTTTTCGTTTTTTTTTCAATTTTTCGATTTTTTTGATTTTTCGGTTTTTTTTCGATTTTTTTTTTATTTTTTCCGATTTTCCGTTTTTTTTTTCGATTTTCGATTTTTCTTTTTTTTTATTTTTCGATTTTTCGTTTTTTTTTTTTTCTATTTTTCGATTTTTTTCGATTTTTTCGATTTTTCGACTTTTTTTCGATTTTTCGTTTTTTTTTCAATTTTTCGATTTTTTTGATTTTTCGGTTTTTTTTCGATTTTTTTTTTCGATTTTTTTTGATTTTTTTCGATTTTCCGTTTTTTTTTTTCGATTTTCGATTTTTCTTTTTTTTTATTTTTCGATTTTTCGTTTTTTTTTTCTATTTTTCGATTTTTTTCGATTTTTTCGATTTTTCGACTTTTTTTCGATTTTTCGTTTTTTTTTCAATTTTTCGATTTTTTTGATTTTTCGGTTTTTTTTCGATTTTTTTTGATTTTTTCCGATTTTCCGTTTTTTTTTTCGATTTTCGATTTTTCTTTTTTTTTATTTTTCGATTTTTCGTTTTTTTTTTTCTATTTTTCGATTTTTTTCGATTTTTCGACTTTTTTTCGATTTTTCGTTTTTTTTTCAATTTTTCGATTTTCGATTTTTCTTTTTTTTTTTTTTTCTATTTTTCGATTTTTTTCGATTTTTTCGATTTTTCGACTTTTTTCGATTTTTCGTTTTTTTTTCAATTTTTCGATTTTTTTCGATTTTTTCGATTTTTCGACTTTTTTTCGATTTTTTTTCGATTTTTCGTTTTTTTTCTCGATTTTTTCGTTTTTTTTTTTCGATTTTCGATTTTTTTTCGATTTTTTTCGATTTTTCGATTTTTTTCGATTTTTTTCGATTTTTTTCGAAAATAATTGATTAATAAAAAGCTGATTTACCGATATAACAATAATTCTAAAAAATAACCGAAATATCGATTATATAATATAACCGATTATATTCAATCAGTCGATTATTTTTATATAATCTATTTTTTAATTTTTGTTTTTTTTTCGATTTTTCGATTTTTTTTCAATTTTTCGATTTTTTTGATTTTTCGTTTTTTTTTCGATTTTTTTTTTCGATTTTTTTTTTATTTTTTTCGATTTTCCGTTTTTTTTTTCGATTTTCGATTTTCGATTTTTCTTTTTTTTTATTTTTCGATTTTTCGTTTTTTTTTTTCTATTTTTCGATTTTTTTCGATTTTTTCGATTTTTCGACTTTTTTTCGATTTTTCGTTTTTTTTTCAATTTTTCGATTTTTTTGATTTTTCGGTTTTTTTTCGATTTTTTTTGATTTTTTCCGATTTTCCGTTTTTTTTTTCGATTTTCGATTTTTCTTTTTTTTTATTTTTCGATTTTTCGTTTTTTTTTTCTATTTTTCGATTTTTTTCGATTTTTTCGATTTTTCGACTTTTTTTCGATTTTTCGTTTTTTTTTCAATTTTTCGATTTTTTTGATTTTTCGGTTTTTTTTCGATTTTTTTTTTCGATTTTTTTTGATTTTTTTCGATTTTCCGTTTTTTTTTTTCGATTTTCGATTTTTCTTTTTTTTTATTTTTCGATTTTTCGTTTTTTTTTCTATTTTTCGATTTTTTTCGATTTTTTCGATTTTTTCGATTTTTCGACTTTTTTTCGATTTTTTTTCGATT